AGTGAGAGTGTGATAAATAGTTAGCATAAGGTATGTTAAATCAATTGTTATCATATTCTTAAAATCACTTTAAAACAAATGTATATTTGTTTAAATTTATATATAAATTTATATATTAAACAAATGTATATTTGTTTAAATTTGTTTGAACACTTTGAGTGCCACTTTTTCAAGAGAATTACTCTTTCCCCATGTATCTTTAGATAGAGCTGGAAAATTGGTGCTATCGAGAAAAAATGTGCCAACACTTACTAAGAAGAAAAATGGTACTTCTTCCAGACAGAATAAAATCTTAATAAACATTTTTTTTGCATATATTTGAAAAAGCAAATATTCCTTTCAATTTGTCTTTGTTTTCCACAAAAAAAATGTTTTCCCCAAAGTGCGGATTTCTTTTTAACAACTGTACAATAATTGAATTCATCAATGAATTACATTTAAGTTTTCAGGATTTACATTTTTTTCTCAAATTATAGGCATACAGGATAACAAATTTTAATCCATTAAATATTTTATTGAGAAAAGTGGGCTTCAGAAATCATAGATGACTGTCTGCCTGGTGGGTTTTCAACTGTAATGCACTGTGATAAATGTAGAATGTTCTTGCGGGAAGAATATTGGGGATTTCTTACTGTTGTCAAAAGAGATGACACCTTCACGGTATCATGTAACATCTCAGTAGCTGTTTTCATGGAGCGTTGTGTACTTTGGTTCTAGCTCAGAGTCTTCTGGGGTTCAATGTGTGGAATATTTTGCAATCCACATTCTGGTACTCCCTTGGGCTTTGCTTCTGGAATTAGTGCAAGTAGATAATTGCAGAATCACTGGAGGTTTACAGCACAGAGGGAGGCTATTCAGCCCATGATGTTGATTCCGGTGCAAGCTCTCCCCACTGCTCCTTCCCTCCACACTGAAGCTGTACTCACTAACCTAATTACACAACTCTTTATCTAATATTTTAATATTATTTACCACATTATTAATACCCTTTAAATATTGGTGTTAACTCAGTTTTAACAGTGTAAAACAGTAAAAATGTTCCACATTCTAAGAACTCTGTGAAAAAACAACCTTCTCATAATAATTACACAAAACACACAATACTGCAGATGCTGAAAATCTGAAAGAAAAACAGAAGTTGCTGGGAACACTCAACAGTTCAGGCAGCATCTATGGAGAAAGGAAAGTGAGTCAACATTTTGGGTCCACGACCCTTCAGCAGAATTGAGTTCTGACGAAGGGTCATGGACCCGAAACTTTGACTCACTCTCTCCATAGATGCTACCTGACCCGTTGAGTGTTCCCAACGATTTCTGTTTTTGTTTCTCATCCCACAGTCCCTCCGCCTCGCCGCCTCCCTTGCCACCTTCAAGGCCCATCCCAAGACCCTCCACCCTCCCCAAAGCTCTGTCTGTCCAGCGCCTTGGGACATCCTCCCAACGTGAAAAGCGCTATACAAATGTAAATTTGTTGTTGTTGCTTAAAGCAGATTCATGATCATACTGCATACATAGGTTTACATTTATATTAACCTACATCTGTTAGCTTGTTGGTTGTTATTAAACATACTCAAGTTTCAACAGCAAAGATTGGTGTGGATATTTTGGAGGAAATGCAACACAAGGCCAGGCAGTGTCCTTCAGTTGGAGCTCTAATGACAATACAGGGAAACTGATAATTATATACAGGAAAATAATCTATAAAATCGCAAAAAAGGATTCCAAATAACTGTTTTCCTTTGACATGAAGCCGAGATAAAATATTAATAAAAGCCAGGATAAAAGGTTAGCAGAATCAATAGTCTGTGTTTTACCACAACAAAGTAAAAAAACTTTATTCTCTTATGTGTACAACCTCTGCTCCAACCATTAATTTTCTCCAGTGCACTGATCCTCATAACCATAAACTGTAACTCCAGACACTCAGTAACAGACTTACTTCCACCTCCAGCCCACCTCTCTGAACAACGTTCCTATGAGAGGCTACCAACAGCTAATTGACCCCAATGGGAAGATGAAAATCAACTGATTTGACAATGTAGTCCAATATCCTATTTGCCTTGTTTATTGCTATCTCACACTTTTGTGCCATGAGTGATGAGTCAACTAACAGTGGATGTCTGGGGCAAATGTATTAAGGCTTCCTCAATTTAGAGGGCTGTGCGTTCCAACCACTTTAGTCACAATGCCTTGAGAGGAGAGCAAACCAGAATTACAATTAGTTATCTGGATTAAGGCTAAAACACTGGATTGATTTAAGAAATAGTTTGTTGCTATACTGGGAAAACAGGTGAGATTGGTTTGGATAAAAAGGGCCCACAAATTGTTACAGTCATTAATTACCCTTTGGACTTTGATACGTCCTTCCAATGTGAAAACGCTAAACGAATATAATTTGTGGTTGTTGTTTGAAGAAAACCTTCCTGGTAGATGGACCTTGGTTTTCTTTTGCCTAGCAAATTCTTATGTTCTTATGTGTCTGTCCTGAAATTGCACTTTGCAAATCTAAACCTATCTCCTCTAACTGTTTTGATACTTTCAAAAGTATTGTTAGGGTTTTCTTTTAAAATCTTATGCACTTCTATAAGATCTCTTCTCTCAAGACTGAAGAACCATAGCTTGTTTGATCATTATCAGCCCCTTTATATCACAGTGATCAGAAATGTAGTCTCGGTGAGACTGGTTAGAGCATCATAGAGCTTGAGTATGACATCTGGGGTTTCAAACTCAACTGATTTGACAATGTAGTCCAATATCCTATTTGCCTTGTTTATTGCTATCTCACACTTTTGTGCCATGAGTGAAGAGTCAACTAACACCCCTGATCTCTTTCAGCTTCCCCTTGAGAAATTGTATGCCAGCATGGAGTATAGTATATGAACAATGGAGTCAAATGGACTGAAGCACTTTCTTCACTCAAACCTATCCAGTGACCTTACTGATTGGTGTTGCGAGTCTCTTTCATGTATACAAGATGAAGGATGATTCTTCCTGCCTGGACAAATATAAAGGTCATCACATCATTGATTCATCATTCCCAGAAAGTTAAGTTGTTATTTCCCTCCACTCAATCTGCGCTATCTGAATGAACTTCTCAAAAAGAAGTTCAGTGCTATTGACCCTGTCACTTACCAAACAGGCAGCATATTTGAGAAACTGGTTAGGTTGAGAGGGTTTAAAAGACTTTGTAACCATCAGAGCCGAACATATTGCTCAGATTCCATGTGCAGGAAAAAGCACTTCCCTTTGCATTCATCTTGACTCCCACAACATTTACTAAGTGTCTCCTCCTTGTACATCATTAGAGTTTTAACACCTGCACTTCTATCTACACTTTGGTTATTGGGTAATCATAATTGCCTCTCAAGTGTATTTGCATGGCTGCTCCACCTATTCCAGTCACAAGAGCTGCAGGTTCTGTTAATAGTATCTTTTGACCCTTTGCCTACATTTTGTTCTTCTGTAGTATTGACCAAACTAAAATCAACTCTCTGTTCCAGCATTTTCACTTTGGTGCAGTTCTTCAATGCTAGGAATAGTTTTATGGGAAGCTTTATGTACAAAAAGCGGTTTAATTATGTTTGGGTGGTGCTGAACTAAAGGGACTTGTCTGAACAAGCAATGCATCCCCAGTTGCCCAAAGCAATTGAATAGGAAGTCATTCAATCCAGTGAAGAAATATAGAACTAATTGGTATCTTAATTATCAAGGTGTTCAATTAAGTCAATAACATAGTAAGGTTGGTTGAATTCCTCTTTATAGTTGAAGAGATCATAATTTGTGCACCATATGGTGCCACTAAAGAGCTTTTATCTATGTTTGCTGCTTACTTTTATTTAGAGGGAGTGAAAGGGACAAAATTACAAAAGACATTAGGGGAGGTCATGACTCCCAAAGTTGCCATGAAATTTATCTTTATTTCAAAATACATATTCATTGCACTTTTGCAGTAAGACATTGATTGTCCAGCACCTTTGTTTGTTCTCCCGACGTGAAAGACGCTATACAAATGTAATTTTGTTGTTGTTGTTGAATGGAATACATACTCTTTCCCTGGAGGGAGATTTCTGCTTATCGAATTCCTGCGTGAATTAGCCACAGGTTGGTGAGAGTTAAGGCTTTGGGATCCTGACCAGCTAAAACCGCAATGAGAGGAGTGTCAAGCAAGCTTCCCGCTGCTTGTCCAATTTAGGACCACAGGGATTTGGTTTGCAGGGTGAACCAAAGCCAAGTGGGGAGAATCCCTGCCCTCAGGTCTGCCCCTCAAATTCCTTCCAATGAGTCAGGCTAGCTGGTATCTCCCTTGAGTACTGAAAACTCATCTGGCTTAGGAACCAGTGACTACCATCTGTGTGATGAATGGTTCAGACTCATAGCAACAGCAGAGTTACTGAGGCCATTTCAATTCTTCAAAATGAACGTGATTAATAAATGGAGCTTGTAATGATGGGTATAAATCAGGTTGAAAGAAAATGATTTGTTAATGTCACGAAAAGATATTATAAATTCAACTCAATTTGGTTAATTTGAACTGGATTCTACACTGGAAGACTGCACCTATCGTCATCTCCCCCGCCTCCTCTCTTGCTCAGCATCCAAAACCGCCACCATGCAGCTCTCTGAGATGCTATCCTGCTTCAAAGGCACTATATAACTACAAGTTGTATTATATAAATGCACTTTTAAAGGTTGAACAATTTTGATCTTTTTTCAATTATAACTAAAAGTCATACTTTTGTTGAATTTATTTTAACTTTTGTGTATCCCACTCTCAAAAAATGTGGGGAAGATTTTAAAAGAAATACAGCATAATATTTGCCACTGTCAAATAAATGTAAATCTTTGGAACCTCCCCAAAACCAGGCAGACTGACCAGTACTACTTACTGCTCATGAAACTATTACTGCTTGTTGCATTCTACCGCGTACAAAAATAATGGTATATAATTATGCCTTTCCCCAGTATAAAAGGAAAACAAAACCAATGTCCCACAAACAATCATAGAGTGAATGACAACATTTATTGATTGTTGGCCAGGACACATTTTGTATATAAAAAAAACAAAATGTAAAAATTATGATAAAATTAATCTTCAAAGTTTTTCTCACATAATATGCATCGTACTTCACTGAAAGATGTGTGCAAAACCTAGGTGCCATATTGTATCCAAAAATAGAAAATAATTTGCTTTTGTTACAACAACAATAACTTGGATTTATATAGCGCCATCTACGCCGGACGGCATCTCAGAGCACTTAAATGCGCTTAAATGCATTATTAAAGATCATTGTGAAACTATTGTTAGAAAAACACCTTTGCTATCAGGATTCACAAAGTCAGCTTGGAGGAATTCCTTCTGTTGAAAAAGCAAGTAGCAAATAGCAATTGATGCACCAAAGAGAAAATAGTTTTCAGGTAATATTCCACTCAGCTATTCACCTTATAGAAGAGAATAGGTACCAGCAGGTGGCACCATTGGACACCAATAGAAGGCACTGAAAAACATGAAGGTACACTTATAATAATCACTAGTATAAAGACGGTTTTGTATTTTAGAAACTTTACTAGAAAATAAAAGTTAAGAGTTTAGTTTGGAAATGTAAACTGAAAGTGCAAGAAAACCATTCTTTTCATGAGATAAATTCCATCCCCTCACACTGAACCTTATACTTAAACTGAGCTCCTTAAACAAAGAAAGAAAACCTTTGCATTTTTATAGCACCTGATTAACAACAATATCAACTTGTATTTATATAGCGTCCTTCACACGGGGTAACATCTCGGAGAGCTTAATATTGGTGTCGCTTGATGCTGAGCTTGGGAGATGGGGGAGGTGACTTGAAACAACAACTTTCTGACCCAAAAGTGACAATGCTACCAAGTGAGCCAAACTGGCAACATAAAGTCTTGTGTGAAACACACCTCATAAAACCCAGAGTATTTAGTTATTGCGAGATCTGTAATATATAAAAATTAAACATTAAATTGTACTCTTACCTCTACGAGTTTGGATATTTGCTTTTAGTCTCTGACAGATATGAATCCAATTTGGGTTCCAAAGTTTTGCCCATCCCGAGTGTGTGAAAAGAACATATCAGGCTGACAAGCAGTACAAAGAGTACCTTTGTTGCTTGGATTAAAAGTGGAAACATCACATATATTTTCTGATAAAATCCCTTCACGTTCCAGCAACACTCTTAGGAAAGAAAAGAATGAATCAAGAGAAAAGAATATTTTTATTGAGCCGCCTCTGTCTTTTGGAATTTAATTTAAAAGCTAGCCATGTTCATTATTGGCTATAAAATTTCACTAATTACCAGCTTCAATTCCACCCTTAAAAATGGTAAATATTTAAACATATATCAATTTAGAAACTTTAAGCACCCAAAACAAAATCTAGGAAAAAATACATATTTCCCAATTTTTAGGTATCAACTTTTATAACCTCAGTTTCTGTGTCAACTACAAACATTTCACTCTAACCTGGTTGCTTGTCTAAGATTCACATGAGGTTTGGATCCATCTGTGTTTCTCACGCAGCTCGAGTCTATCTTGATAAATTCTTCAGCTGCCTCTTGGTGCAGTGTAAAGCAGCACTCGCCCACACAAGGTCCCATCACCACTCGAATATCCTTCATACTGCAGGCAAACTCAGTCATCATTGTGTTTACTGTAGCTATAGCCACTCCAGCCAGAGTACCTCTCCAACCTAGGGTGGGAAGATCAAACAATATGGAAATAACAACAACAACAAATTACATTTGTATAGCGCCTTTCATGTCAGGAGGACATCCCAAGGCACTAGACTATCAGGGATCATACCTAAGCTGCTGGTTGGGATCAGGAGGGGTGTATTGGGGGAGGGTAGGAGTAGGAGGGTGACTGAAGGCACAGTAGAAGAGGAGGGTCTTGAGACAAGTCTTGAAGGAGGCAAGGGAGGGGGCAGAGGGACTGTGGGATGAAGTTCCAGAGGGTGGGGGCAGAGACGCTGAAGGCCCACCCGCCAATGGAGGAACACATGGAGGAAGGAAATATAAAGTACTTCTCACGGCAGAAATTGAGAATCACAATAGTAAACCAACATTTTTAACCCACTGATTCTCAGAATCGTGCTAGCAATTAGGTGGGAAGACAGAGAAGGGATCAGGAGACATGGAAGCTCATGTGGAGTATAAACCCGAGCACAGACAAGTCAGGTCAAATCGCCTGATTCCGAATAGTAATTTTCTATACACGTTCTTGACAGGAAAAAGTCAAGAATGAATTGTTACAGAATGTTTTTCTACTCAATTTATATTGATTTGAATGCCTAAACGTGGATGGAACATTACCTGCATGAGCTGCTCCACATGCTATTTGGACAGGATCAGCAAAGATCAAAGGGATGCAGTCAGCTCCTGGTGCTGCTATGGTGACTCCTTTCTGGTTGGTCACAATTCCATCATAGTTCGCTGGCTCCGGTCTCCCCATAGTCCAGATGGTGTTTCCATGGTTTACCTATCACCAGGTGACCACAAGTTAAACATTTACTGCACATGCACAGTGCTTTCCCAGGAATGAAGCCAAAACAGTTTCCCTAACAAGAAGATGTTAGTGTGTATTCTAAACATTTCAGTATCCCAACATCTATATACAAGTTATTAACACAGCACGTTGCTGCATATTAATATCGGATTGAACTGAGACTTTTACCTTTGCGAGGTAGTAGATTTTGGGGTTAAATCCTGCAGTTGTGGCCAAGCGCCGTATATTCTCATTAATCACAGCCTTTGGATCTCTACGTTTAAAGCTGCTGAAAAGGTTCAAGGAACTGAGGCTTGGTATATAGGATATGCCACCACATCTTGTTGTAAAGCCATGAAGGAATACATCTGTGACAAATTTAGAACAAAAACATAGACAAAGAAAATGATATTTAAAATTAGTCTCAAATTAATGTCAGGACCAAGTAATGACGTTATCACCCTTTTCACCATTAGTCTTCAAACAATAACTTCATTACCAGAACAGATGAAAGGTATGTTCAACTTTTAAAGCAATGCCCAGTTGTGCTGCATTTTAAGTGAACTGCCACAGTGAGTTGAGGAATTGAAGCGTTGCCTTAAAAACATTTAAAGATTTAGACAAAATGAAAAAGGTTTTCATTTCATCGTTAAGTATGTTTTTAAAGTCAAAGATAAAATTCAGATGTGAACAATTAAAAATTGCTGCAATTTAGTGATAATTGAGCACAATTTTTTTTTCCATTTCCCTTCCCACCCCCCCACACACACACACTGAATTATATTCCAAGTTTCCTTAGAAGTTGCCAACACAAATCATTTAGCATTGAAACATTATATGCACATTTTAAGTGAACACTTCGCCCACAAAATCTAGTTAATTCACTTTACAGTATATTCTGTGACTCGCTTTGAGATGTCTCGAAGATGTAATAAGGCTCTATTCAAATGTAAGGATTATTATTATTATTTGTTCAATAAAGATATAGCTGTGGATCCGACTCAGCAGATTTAATCCTGGATTGACTTGAAAATGATCACATTGCTGGGCATTTATATAAATATAATGTACGATGTTGCAGTTACCTAGCGCAATAGGATCAAGTTTTATCTGGCAATGTAGGTCCATGTAACAATTGTAATTTCTAAATAACAGATGAACAGAAAGTTCAAGATGATCAATACCAGGCTTATCTACACGGCTGTTGGTAGGCATACAGTTCTCAAGAGATTACAATTACAGTAAACATTGCATGTTACATTTACAAAACATCCTATCCCGTAATTAAATAATAAACCAGTAGTATTGATCTAGTTGACACTTTTCTAGCTTTGCTAAATTTATAACGTATACCTGGGATCAGTGGAGAATGGAGAATTGCAATCTGTCCCATAAGTCCTTTGAGTTGCCCTAGAAATGTCCAAATATCCTTACAGATTTCATCAGCATGTTGGTCAGTGAGGACATTATTGTCCTTCGTGCAAGGTACTGATGCTTCCAATTTTATTCCACCTTCATTTCTTGTAGCAAGTCTTTCAAATGTGAATTCATAAACTGCAGTAAATAGTTGATTGATGTACACATCCATCATGGCTTTCTTATTGACAGGCATGATGACATTTATAGTGCTGGTGAAAGGCGCTTTACAGATGTAATTTTGTTGTTGTTGTTGCATTTGATCCTGTAGTCCTCATTCGTACTT